ATGACAGCTGGTTTCTACCACACCCACCCCCACCCCCACCCCCAAAAAAGAAAATCCAGGGCAGCATCATGCTGCTGTTGGTTGTTCCCTATTAGCCTTTCTGATTATCTTAAGTATTAAGTCTTCTAGGATTTATATCTGCAAGAAACAATCCAGCCAAAACTAAGCACTCCCAAGCCCCATTTTCTGAACTCTCACATAGAAATATGCACTTGAACCTCTCCCATTAAAAAGATATTTACTGATCTGTAGCCAGGATGGTGTGTCCCCCCCCACCTGGCCCCGTTTTACTGACTTGGCTCGGATCCTAGACCTTTGCCCTGTGCACCCTTCTCCACAGGCACTGCAGTGTCAGTCCCTCTGCTGTAGTTGCTTCCTCTTGCACTAGACCAGTGGCACAAGCTCTATGGATCACAGAGAGCCATGTTTGCAATTCTCATCAGCCAGAACAGCCGCATGGCTAATCTCTACACAGCACCACAGTAGCAGGCCACTGTGTGACAGAGTGTTGGACTGGATGGGCCATTGGCCTGATCCAACACTGGCTTCTCTTATGTTCTTATCTACTGGAATGCAACCAGAGTACCTCTGAGGGTGCAGGGTTGTCTCTCCCCAGCACCACTGAATCTTAGCCAGCCCTTCTGGATCGGGAGGGAGGGAAAGGGCTTGTAGGTCAGACTTAAGACACAAAACAGTGTGCAAGCTTTCGAGTTCTCCAGAGCTCTTTGTTAGGGTGCATGTTATAAAATCAGGGCTTCTTCCCTGTGTTCGAACCTCTCTCCACGCTAAGTCTCCTGCCTGCGAGTAGTTTTGTTTTATGGGTTAGGATTCCAGTGGCAGGCTCCACTCCGCTACCTCACTCAGCCGAATATGAAGGATCCAGTCTCCTCTCCACACCCTGGATATACTCATCATGCAGAAGCCATGTCGTGTTTTAAAAATAAAACTTATTCATGGTTTTATCTTGGGCCTGGAATGATGATGAGACGATCTGAATTTCTAAGGAAGATGGTTCACTTTTCTAGCACGTGAGGTGCCATGGGGACCAGTGCTCAGAAAAGCCACAGGAGGTGCATCAAAGAGCACCTACCATCACTGTGCTGGGCACTTTGGGATCACTGAAAAACACTGGAACTGCGCAAGCAGAAGTGCCTCTCATGAGGTGAAGCAAGCACTTTAGCACAAGACTTGCCACGTGAGTGCCCAGAGAGAAGCACGCCCAGAGCAAAAGTACAGGATCCAAGCCGCAGTTATTAAACAAAAGAGGTTCTCTGTCATTGTCATTTTAGAGGGGTTTGCTGCAGCCAAAGAAAGCCGTGTGGCACCTTAGCTGCGTGGCAAAAACTTTCATGAGTCAGAGCCCACACTTCTTTCCCCTGCACCAGGCTATCTGAAGAGAAGAAGAGATTGGATTTATAACCCGCCCTTCACTACCCAGAGGAGTCTCAGAGCGGCTTACAAACTCCTTTCCCTTCCCCTTCCCCTCCCCACAACAGATACCCTGTGAGGTCGGTGGGGCTGAGAGAACTCTGACAGAAACTGCTTTTCCAAGAACAGCTCTTATCAGAACTATGGCTTGCCCAAGGTCACCCAGCAGCTGCGAGTGGAGGAGTGGGGAATCAAACCCGGTTCTCCCAGATTAGAGTCCACGCACTTAACCATGACACCAAACTGGCTCTGCTTAGTACTACTTTTACTTCTTCAGTCTAAGAGCTCATAAAGGAAGGCACGGTAGGGAGGGTGTCCGAGAAACAATCCACCAGGAAATTCTCTGCAAGCTCTACTTAAATGAACGAGAGCATTTTATATCCTTGGAAAATTATCATTTATTATTATTTGTTAAAACATTTATTAGCTACTTTTCTACCTTGTGGAACTCAAGGCGGTTTGCAATATAAATAAAACAATTATAAAAACACCTAATAACCATAATTTAAAATATCCAATTAGGACTGCCAATAAATAAAAACTAAACTAGTCAACTGTAGTCCTAAAGAGCCAGTTTGGTTTAGTGGTTAAGAGCACGGGGAGAATTGGGTTTGATCCCCCACTCCTCCACATGCAGCTGCTGGTGTGACCTTGGGTCTGTTACAAGTTCTTTCAGAGCTGTTCTCTCAAGAGCAGTTCTCTGAGAGCTCTCTCAGCCCCGCCTACCTACCTCACAGGGTGTCTATCGTGGGGAGGGGAAGGGAAAGGGACCGTAAGCTGCTTTGAGACTCCTTTGGGTAGTGAAGGGCGGGGTATAAATCCAATCTCCTCTTCTTCTTCTAAATAAAACTGCCTCCTGAAGACCGAATGTGAGGGGGCCAGGCACACCTCCCTGGGGAGATTGTTCCATATCTGTGGGGCTGCCACTGAAAAGACTCTCTCTTGTGTGTACACCAGATCAGCTTCTTTGATTGGTGGGACAGTTAGGAGGAACTGTGATCTTAAATTCCAGGCAAGAACGTACAGGAGAAGACAGTGGAACAAAATGCTACTGGATGAGACATGTTAAAAGTGGAAAACAAAATCCCAGGAGATGAAAGTAGTACCATTTTAACGGTTGATATATGAAAGTATGCATCAGAATTACCTATGCGAGAGTCTAATGGTCAGCTTCTGAGCCAGTGCTTTACACAGGGAAGTTTTACCAGTTCCTGGAGGACCTGCAGTAAAAATCACAGGATCTATTAATTATCAAAATATTCTAAGAGTAGCACGACAAGCCATTCTCTTCTAAGAAGCTAGGATCCAGCCAAGTTACCTGCTTCCACCCTATCTTACAAATCTAGCCATGGAATATTAACTTTTAGGACAATTGTACATAGCAACCTATTGCTAATAGTAAAAAAACCCAGTGCTAGTATTGCAGTTATTCAGAGCTGGACTACACGCTGCACACAAATGTGTAAAAGTTGTTCAGTCGGTCTTTCTATGGAGGAAAATCCTTTGTCATGGGGGGGGGGTAACTGGTAGGAGCAAAGGTGCACACATGCACACCCAGGCCCTCAGGCTTCTCTCTACCACATCTTTCATACAGGAGCTGCCTTCCCTAGACAGAAAAGAGCTGTTGAGCTACCATCCCACCAATGTGAGTGCAAGATGTAGCCTGTCCTATTGTCCCTTGATGTTCTGATGAAAGTTCTCGCTCCCCCCCTCCAAATTTGGAGGGGAGTGGCTGTGGCTCAGTGGTAGAATCCCTGCTTGGCATGCAGAAAGTCTCAGGTTCAATCCCCAGCATCTCCAGTTAAAAGGACCAAGCAGTAGGTGATGTGAAAGACCTCTGCCTGAAACCTTGGAGATGCAAAACAGAACACAAGTCAAACAGGGTTGCTTAACATCATACAAAACAACTCAAAGAAAAATTCAGGCACCGAAATGACTTCAGTTTTCTGTGCTTTTGGCAAGCAATGATTTTAACAGCAGGTATATCAATGTCTTTCTGTGGATGATATGACTTTCCAGCAAATTCATGTGTCAGAGTCAAGGATAAGCATTTTCATATGGATCTCCCAAACTTCAAGAAAACGCATATGAATTCCCATACACAAGAAGCAAGCTGCTTTAGACTCATAAGGGTTAGTAGAAGCTCTGTTTTGCATTTTGTCGTGACTTGTCTTTTGTCCTTTGACATGGTACACATATATGCTTAAGATTTACTTCCGAAGACATGTTGTACACATATGTTCAAAGTTTCACTTCGTAAAGTTTCCTTCTATTGATATTGCATTTATCTTTAAAATAATTATCAGACAAATGAGCTTGCCTAAGTCTTTATTTATATGTAATTGTTAGAAATTGCTTTTTCAAAATGTACTTTGTTTTCCTGGTATCTGCAGCACTGTGTTTCCTTTTAGAATTATTTCTGAAACCCTGGAGAGCCGCTGCCAGTTTGAATAGACAAGAGTGACCTTGGATGGACCAAGAGTCTGATTCAGGATAAGGCCGCTTCATGTGTGATATAACCACCACTGGGCTCTCTGCCATGTCCCACTTTACGATGGCATTCAAAATGCTGTCCAGCCAAAGAACATACTTCAGCTACACAGAGAGCCGTACTGGCTAAGAGGAAGAGCTGGATAATTTCTAGTTTGGATCTTTGCTCAGCCATGAGCTCACGAGGTGGCCCAAGCAATTCCGCCTTCCGCATTTTTACCCTGCCTTTTGAGCTCAGAGAAACACACGGGGTCCTCCCTTCCTCCTTTTATCCCCACGGCAACTGTATGAGGTAGGGCAGGCCGAGAGACAAGGGATTGCTTGTCTTAAGGTCATCCAATGAGCTTAAGGGCTGAAGGAGGAGGATTTGAATCCTGATATCCAGATCCAAGTACAGTTTCAGAGGGCAGCCATGTTGGTTTGCAACAGAACCGCTCGATTCGAGTCCGGAAGCACCTTCAAGAGACCAACCCGATGTTCGGGGTATGAGCTTCGGAGAGTCAAAGCACTGACTCCCAAAAGCTTCTACCCCGAACTTCTTTTTGGTCTTTAAGGTGCTACTGGATTCAAATCTAGCAAAAGCTAGTATGATACTCTAATCACTATACCATAATTTCTCAATCCCCGCTTCCCCCGGCTGCCTGAAGGTGATAATACTGACTTTTATGGGGCTGTTGTAAAGATACATGAATAAATGCACGCAAAGTACTTTGAACACACTAAAGAAATGCTATGATTCTAATTAGCCAATTCCCAAAAGCCTTCTAACCAAGTACAACTTAGTTAAAAAGAGACATCTTTTACCATGCAATAGAACCACTCTGTTCCAGGATATCAAGTTGCTGTTGACGTTTCTGTCCGAGAACAGTAACGTTGTGGTCACATAATCGAGTAACTAATCGGACAGGGAAAGAAACAGGCGAAAGAACAGACGATTAAGACTCCACAGTATAACTGGATACTTGACACAGAAGTTTCGAGCTGAGAGTAAGTTGGGTGATTAGAGATACATCACTACATATCTACCTATATATGCATAATCGGGATATGATGAGAGCTGGTCAGGAATTTACATCACTGTTCTAAAGGGTATCTCAATATTTACAAGGTTACTATGTCATGCAGCTAGAAGTTCTAAAAATCTGAATATTGGGAATGAGCCCAAAGCATCTTGGACTACAATGGGCTCGCCATGAGGGTTGTCAGGGATTCCGGCTGAGCCTTCTAGAGGAAGAGGAGGAAGAGGGAGGGGAAGGAGAAGAGTTGGATTTATACCCCGTTCTTCACTCGGAGTCTCACAGTGGCTTACAATCCCTTTTCCTTCCCCTCCCCACAACAGACACCCTGTGAGATAGGTGGGGCTGGGAGAGCTCTGAGAGACCCGCTCTTCAGAGAACAGCTCTGAGAGAACTGTGACTGACCCAAGGTTACCCAGCTGGCTGCATGTGGAGGAGTAGGGAATCAAACCCGATTCTCCCGGATTAGAGTCCGCTGCTCTTAACCACTACACCAAACTAGCTCGAGTACTGCCAGAGACAGATTATTAGAATCTCTCACCAGTCGCTCTGTGAAGGTTCCCCCACATTTTAAAGATTGAAGCGTGCCTGAGAGTCAATGCTGGTGTGGTCCAGACAGGACTTCCATTACTTCTTGAACAAGCAGATTTAATCAAAACTAAGCTCCACTGAATTTCGTGAGGCTCTCCCCCCAAGCGTGCACGGGATTCCAGCCTGAAGCGGCCTCTTCTCAAACCACAGCTAGAGCCCCAGAGTTGGCAGGGGACACAGACCATCTCCAACAACTCCCGCTCAGTGCAGGCGATCCAGAGCTCCCCTAGTCAAGAGCCCTTCCAGTCAAACCCACTTCCAGTCAGACCAGGATATGATTCCAGGACCAGCCGGAAACACACTTGTTCTATTTTGTCGTTCTGCTCTAGTGTAGTTATGTATTTTTCTTGCTTCACCTTTGGGGGGTGCAGAGCTTAAACAATATTTTCAACTTACGTCTGATTTAACTTCATGTTCATAAACAAGGCTTTCCCACAGACCATGAAATTCAGCTGCAAAACATAATTACTAAATTCAAAAAGTCGCTAATAAAAAAAAATCAAAACATCCAATTTCAGTCCAGTGATCTTTCGCTGTTTAAATGATTAAATCCACAAGCCATTGTTACAATCCTATGCAAAAACCAGCCCTTCCGGCCGCGCAGGGCTCTTTTTGTAGCAGGAACTCCTTTGCATATTAGGCGACACCCCCCTCATGCAGCCAATCCTCCCAGAGCTCTTCTTACAGGGGCTACTGTAAACTCTTGGAGGATTGGCTACATTAGGGGTGCGTCGCCTAATATGCAAAGGAGTTCCTGCTACAAAAAGAGCCCTGCGAAGCATATAGGGGTGTAAAGCTACCCTCTCAAACTGAGGAAATGTGAAGCATTCAAATCTATATAAGTCTGAATCATAGGCAAGCCCCCCTCCCCGTTTTCTTCAGGTTAAAGCATAGGCAGAAGTCACATGGCCACCCAAGATGCCTAAATCAACAGGAGCCTGAGTGACCGCAATGCTTTCCCTTCTTTCCTGATATGACCCCCTTCACCCAAAAACATTCATAGGGCGCGATCCTGATACAGTCTAAAGCCTTCTTTAAGTCCCATGGAATTCAACCACATAAATGTACTATTTCTTTCATTTACTTCCTCCCCAATAAGGGCTCCAAGCAGGTTACATGACTCGCTTGCTCCATTTTGTCCTCACAACAACCCTGTGGGGGAGGTTAGGTGGAGAGTGTGTGACTGGCTCAAGGTCAACCAGCAGGTTTCACCGGCAGAGTGGGGATTCGAACCTGGGCCTCCCAGATCCTAGTCCAACATTCTAACCACTATACAACACTTGCTTTGAGCTCATACTGGGACTGAAACTATTTAATAGTAACTAGACAACCCCCCCCCCCTTAGGAAAACCCTTACTGTATAACTCCAAACCCTGAAGAACCCACATATCTACGAATCCAGTCTACTGTCCTTGCAAAGACATGTTTCTCACTTCAGAATTCGGCATACTTTTATTTCAGAAGTCTCCAGAGCTTCACTTTTCATTATCTCGCTTTCTGCCACTGAAGTTCATACCTAAGCCAGACTCTATCCATATAATTATTTCAAACAATACTTCCATTTTCCAGATGCGCAACCTATGATATTCTGAACTTTTGAAGACCGTCTTAAATGTCGCACACAAATAGAAGTACCTGCCGGTAACACCCAGTGATTGGCCGCAATGATATTTTCATTCTCTTCTTCCAGGTTTTCAGTACTGGGGCCTTCTTCGTTAAGATGAAAAATATGAATGAAAAGGTTGCAGTCGCTCAAGTAAATAGGCTGCAGTGGAAAGAGAAAGCAAAGTTGGCCTCTGGCAAACAAGCCTTTGAAGAGAAATGTACAACCTCAAAGGAGTAGAGGAGACCTGTGCTCTGGGTAAAGGCAAAACACAACGTCAGATTTGGATCTCATTTACATAATTTTCTAAGGTGGAGTCTGAACAAAAGAAATCACAACCAAACTAAGCTTGTCCTTAACTATAGCAAATGAGACCTGGTCTGAAAAGGCAGCGGAAAGGGGTGGTACAATTCCGAGGTATTGAGTGTACAATAGATACTACATTCTGAATATTCTCCCAAAACTAAATGCTCCCTCTGCCAGTGAAAAATAAACATCCACTAGACCATGCGTCTATCCTAGTTATTCTCTCTTGTGCCAGCTTTCTATCCACAAGGATTTTTTTACTTAGGAGAACCTCCAAAGACAAGAGCAGTCTGAAGTGGTACAGTCCACCTTGGATTTCTCTTCCCTCCCTTGGACTCCTCTTAACTCATTCTGCTGCATGCTTATTCCAGGTCCGAACTGTAAATGCATCATTAATGGAGTCTTCGAACCATCTGATTATGGAAATGTGAATTCTAGGAACATGCATGCAGTGCACATCTCCTGTAACGTTTGGAAAAGGGGGTTCAAACTCTGATCACAATCAAAGCCAAAATCATTTGGGGGGGGGGGGGGGGGGGAGATCACCACCTTAATAAGTATCAAGTATGCAAAATGGTACTTTTCTTCTAATAATCCTGTTTAATGGCTGACATTTCCCCCCCAGAAACGAGTTTTAGAACATAAGAGAAGCCAATGTTGGATCAGGCCAATGGCCCATCCAGTCGAACAGCCTTGTGTCACACAGGGGCCAAAACCCAGGTGCCATCAGAAGGTCCACCAGCGGGTCCAGACCTCCAAAAGCCCTCCCACTGTTGCCCCCCAAGCACCAAGAATACAGAGAGTCACTGCCCCAGACATAGCGGTTCCATCTATACCTTGTGGCAAATAGCCACTGATGGACCTCCGCTCCACATGTTTATCCGATCCCCTCTTGAAGCTGTCTATGCCTGTAGCCACCACCACCTCTTGCGGCAGTGAATTCCATCTAAGTTTTGTCTATTTAATTAGTATAAGGAATACTTAATACCTGTCTCTCCTTCAGCTTTAGCTCTGTATCCACAACTGCAACAGACTGCACATTATTTGTTAGGAAGGTGTCATCAAACTCGGTCCACTTATAATCACCAAAGACAATGTTATGCCTATTAAGTAATCTTAGGATACTCCCCTTGATATCTTCTTTCTTCACAGTGCTAAAAGTAGAAAAATATATTATTAACTAGCCAAATCATTAATGTTAGAAAGGACCCAGCAGGCATAAACTGGTAAGTGCTCTTCCCTGACTTTTGGACAGGGTAGATTGGGGTACTGTGTGGGGTTTTGGTGGGAGCGATGAAGCCCTGTTCCAAAAGAGCTGTAACGACTGGAGATATCCCTTTTCTCTGCCTCGAGGCAAAGGGATACACTGAGCAACCCTCAGCAAAGGGTTAGCAGGATCTAAGTTAATTTTAACCATTTCTGCAGATTGAACGAGGCCACCCTGGTTGCCCTGCTGTGACCCCAAAAGTGGTGGCACAGCAGAAAAAATTTCCTGCTGGATTTCAGAAAGCGAAAAGGTTTTCCATGTCTATGGCCCGCTGTGCACCGACAGCTTACTGCAGAGAATCTGGGTGGTCAAGCCTTTAAGCTTGACTCCGGATCTGTGCGCCTGCCATACGCACCATTCTTTTTTCTCTGGTGTATTTATTGTGTATTCTGCGTATTTATTCTGCAGCTGCAACCAAAAACTGCCGTTTTTCTTAGCTGGGGTGGGAACGTCACTTGTGACATGGGTGTGCGTGTGTGTCCAAAGGTTTTTAATTTACACAATTGCCCTATCACAGATACACAGAAGGGTCAAATAAGCACCTACCACTTCAATCCTCACGGTTCAGTTCCTTGAATGACAGGGAACACAAAGGCAGGCGGACCATGTTTTTTTAAAAAATCTTGAAATTGACCAAAGTATTTTTAAACTGACTAGAGAACAGCTGCTCTGGAGTTTTCCTCCCCCCCTTTGCTGTCCCTCGAAGGTCACTCCCCCGCCCACTCTGCCTCTTCTGCCATTTGTGTTCAAGAACCACTTTTTCCCTTGTCATTTTGCATTTTTAGACATTTTTTACAAGCGGCATGAGCCTAGCAAAATGAGATTCTTGCTGCACTTAAGACTTCTTCTTGCAAAACCACCAAAGTGTGGGGTCTGGACAGAGTTTGAGTAAATTATACAATGTAAATGAAGCCTCCTTGCCCTCCAATGTGTTCTGGATCCTGCAAGATGCTGACGACTCAAATTGCTGGAGGATCTTAGCAGCCCAAACCAGAAAGTGCGCGGGGGACGACGACACACACACACACAGTAGGATCAGCAGTATATGGGAAGGCAATGGGAGATGGGGGCTTTGAGCTGCAGTGTTGGGCTGATGGTTTGGAGCAGCATTCTAAAAAGACAAAACGAGCAAGGAATGTGTATGGTGGTGGTGGGGAATCCAGAACTGCATTGCTGGTGGTGGTGAGGGAAATCTGTGACTTCTCTGCTGGGGTGAAATCGGTCACTTCTCCCTAGATATGTGGTCTAAGATTCAACGGGGACAAGAAAGGAAGAGCAGTGCATCTGTGTGCCCTAAAACTGCAATGGGAAAGGAAGGTTTCAAAATGCAGGAATAGCTGGAGTAAGATCTGTGATTCTTTTTATAGGAATGGAGAAGTTGGAGAACAGGGGACCTCACTTTCAGGGGGGAAACCTGCTTCTCTGAAAGGGGGAAGGGAAAGACCGGCTGCTGTTTCCTGTATAATTTACTGAAATACCATCCTTTTAAAAAACACTTCTGGCATAATGGATCACACCTCCAGGAAACAGCAGCTGGTCTTTTCCTCCCCCCTTTCAGAAAAGCACGTTTTTCTCCTGTCATTTTTTCCAGCCACAAGCCTCCTCTGGCTCCACTAGCGAACCTGCCTGCCTACAGCAGCTCTGGAAAGACACAAACACCCCTCCACCGTCGCCATGCGGTCACCAGCACCAAGTGGAAGCCTGGCCCAAGGGCAGGCAGCTATTAAGTTGCCAGAGTCCCGCTGTGGGGCTGGCGAGGGGGACAGGCTCGGGCAGTCATTCCCATGCTGGGCGAGTGGGCACCACCGGCACATTGCACACCTGGCTGCTCGTTCACTCCCTTCCCTCCCATCTCGCCCGCCACTGCCTCTATGGCCACGTGTTCAGCATCTCCTCCTGAGGGCAGGCATTGTTTAAAACATTAAACTGCACGCACAAGCGCTACCTCTAGCCAAACTTTTACAGCATTCCCTGCCAACGATTTTTTTCTCCAGCGATCCAAGATTAGCATTACACTCATATCACTCGACTGAGCCCGCTTGTTAAAAAAAACCACAAAAATTTACAAGATTTTTTATTTTATTTAAGATGGAAAGCCTAAGCAACAGTGGAGCTTGTACACCAATGAAGGGGGGAGGATGGTGAAAGGTGAAGAGTGGGAGTGTCGGCTGATGCCGCCATGGTTTGGGCAGTGTTCTCCCCGTTCCCCCGCCTTCCTTCCGCTGCCCTCCCTCCTCCTGGAATGCGCTCCAGGTTTCTTCCCATTATCTCTCCTGTGGCTTTGAAGCCGTGCTTGGCCCCGCTGAGAGCCGAGGGCCGTTTTCTTTTGAGCACGCTTGCTTGCTCCTGCTTATTGGTCTGCGTCCATCAGGGGGACCTGTATGAACTGGGTATAATAGTCCGTATTCCTGCCTAACCCCCCATTCCTGACACAAAGTGTGTCGTATGATGACCTGAGTACCTACCTTTCTCAATAAACTGCTTTATAAAGGAACGTGGTTGAGCTTGATTGACTTGGGACTGTGACAGGGAGGAATGACCTCAATGTGGGCAGGGGAGTGGCCTCTGAGGGGGGGGGGGGGAGTTGAGGAAATTTGTATGCTTTTGAACTACCTTTGGCTTGGAAGCAGAGCAAGGGAGAAAACCGTCATAAAACTGCTCTCAGAAAACCCATGGAAACAGCAACCGGGAAGCAAACCGACCGCTTAAGAGACACAAATCCATGCAGAGGGGGAGGGGGACGGACCCAACAGCCATGAATAGTGAAAGCAAGGAGAAGTGCAGAATGACAAAGAAAACCCAAAAGACATGGACAGTGAAAGTGAGGGAAAACACCCATGCACAAAAGGCCTAAGTTAGGCTGAGCCTGAAGGGCTCATTAGTAGCCAGTCCCTTCAGACAGACACCAGCTGGTGAACACACAAACAGTACACCCTAATTTGCACAGAAGATCTTTAACTAGCAGATTGATAGGGGAAGATGGAAAGAAACCTGGGTGGTAATGTCCTTATCAGCTACGAACATGCCGTTCAGGTAAACCCTATATGAAAAGCAAAAGCGATGTACTGGCTCCCTCCTTCCCACAAGATCATCTTCTAGAGTGGGGCCATCACTCAGTGGCAGAATGCAAGATCCGCAGGCAAAATTCCCCAGATGTAATTCCAGACTTCTACAGCTAAGGAAGACCTCAGACAGTAGACTTCAGTCTTGGGAAGTAATGGAGCTAAATGAAGAAATGGTCTGAGTCGCTCCAGAGCAGTTTTGTATGTTTAATGACATATCCACTGGAATTGGGTAACTCTAAGAAAGGCTGTTTCTTCCATTAACTCCTGAATCCATTCTATTAAATTTTTGGCCTGACCGCTCATTTTCTCCTTTGCGTAGGGATCTTATTCCTCTTCTGTTAGTCGCTGGCAAATCCTTATTAGCCTAAGTATGGAAATCTGGGACAATACTCTCGCTTGAAGCGTGGTTCCAGAAAGTGTGGGATATAGTTATTCAGGATAAAATAGCTACACAAATATTGTTGATGGAGACCTTAGGTTATAAAAATAACTTTGTGGAAAAGTGGTATCCTTTTATAGATTATGTAAATAACAATCCCTCTGTGAAATGTAAAATATCTTCAAAATATCTGGAATTTATCTTGTTTTAGGTCTATTCCTAAAATATGTAATGCAAAACTAGGTTTTCATCTGTGTATGTATATGCCTATAAGATATAATTATGTTATGTTGTAGTTGATATGTTACAGTTGAATCAGTTATTAGAAAAAAAACCACATTTTTTTAAAGAAAGGCTGTTTCTTCGAGTTTCTCAGTCCCATCAGGCACCATCCCCTTTGGAACAAAAGAATAAGCCCCTGTCCAGTATATGGCATCATTACATTGAGACACCTTCTGTAACAGAAATACCTGTTTGGTTTCTGATGAACTTCTACATGGATCTGTAGGGACTCACAGTCATTCAGAGGATCCTGTTTCAAGTCATCTGCTGCTTCGTCCATATTATGAAAACCTGATTTAAAAGACAAAGGGGATAGAGTCTTGAAGTGTCTTGCCTTTCAGAATTGTGGGCACTGCATATCGCACTAGTCATTGTCTCTTCCGGACTCATTTTTATGTGCTTAGCATGAGCATCAGGACAGATGTGACAATGCGTGCGGAAACCAAGTTTCAAAAAGCTGATTCCTCATCAGTGAAGGACATCAGCCAGCACTTGACATTCAGAGATTTCTTCCTTGGATGCCTGAAGGGCGGAAGACTTGTCTTGGTCTACCCATGTGGAATAAAACTTACCTAAGCACACCTCAGAGTGTCTCCTGCCCTTGTGCCCAGCTAAGTCTGGAGCTTTCCCACCATGGCTGCCTCAAAATGGCCTCCCAAACCCCAGTCGTAAGGCCTCCAGCTGCCCACCGCACCTCTGGCTTCTGCCTCATCATGTTCCACGGCTGCCAGACTGAAGCCACCAACTCCCTGCCTCCAAAGGATGATGAGAAAGTCTCCCAGCATTCAAAATGAAGCCCTCATTTCCAGATGAGAATGGAGTACAACTGACATTTTGCATCAGAAACGTCCAGCAAACTCAGATTATGACCTTGAACTACTAATCAGCATGTCCCGATTTCCAAGAAGAGAGAAACCAGGTCAAAGGAAAGCTCACGTGTTGGTCCTCACCTGGACTGTTGTAACCCAAAGTCTTATCTCAACAGAAATGAAAATAAGAATAGATAAGACCACGATTCTTTCTCAAGTTCAGCTTTCCATCAACTATGACCCACATGCCACTAGAAGCAAGGCACAGGTGGATAGCCACCTCCCATTTTGTCTCCAACATCCGGTACTCAGAGGTATATCCTCTAAACATAGAAATTCCATTTAGGTCCAATAGTTAATAGCTCTAGAAACCTTTCACCTCTCCAAATGTGCCTAATCCTTTTAAAAAGCCATCCAAAACAACAGCAACACCAGCATCTAAGCAATCCATAGTTAACTGCGCATTGTGAAAAGCTGCATTTGCTTTTCTTGAACCTATTGCCAATCAACTTGAGCAGGTGTCCGGAGTTTTACGGGAGGGGGAAAACCCCTGTGCTATACAGACATTAACAATGTCATAAACCTCAATCACCCACCCCTCACGAGTCATCTTTTTTCCCAAATAGTCATAAATATTTTAGTTCTTCCTCATAGGAATGTTCTATCAATTTTCAGCCATGTTAGGCAGCAACCTTATGTACACTTGACTGGAAGTAAGGGAACCGTTGCCCCTCCCTACCTTTATGAATGTTATTATATATCAAGGTGCCCAACGTGGCGCCCACACAGCATAGCTGACACCTTTCCTGGTGCCCACGAAGTGTTTTTAGAACAGCTGGGGCATTTATTCTTGCCTCCTTTGGTGGGGCAAAAAAATAAAATGATACGAGTGTCAGCTAAGGCTGCCATGTAATGGAATGTGTGGGTTGCTGTCCATGTCTCTCACTCCCCCTCCCAGCTTCTCTATGACTTGAGCTGTTATCTTAGTAGTGTCCTTGAAGCTGTGTATTGCCTGCTCCTAGCTTCCTGCTGGGAATATAACTGTTGCTTTTTGCCTGCGTTTCCAGGTGCTTGCTCATTGGCCTTTTCATATCAGGGGGTCTTGTATGAAGGGGGTATATCTGGGGTTCCTTTCACCATCCCTCCATTCCTGACATAGATGTTCATGGTGTCTTAAGTCCTCGCTCTCAATAAACTGAAACTTCTGAAGGAACGTTGTTGAGTGTGATTGATTGAAGTGCCCGACAATGAGCTAAATTTGTTTTCTATTCTTCCTATAGCACATGCAAAATGTCCAACTCGGCTCTTGTTTGCCACAGTTCTTGCTATTCTTTGGTTCTGTACACTTATTACCTTCTATCATTCTGGTTGGGGGGAGGGGGTCTATGAGTGTGTGCAGGGCTTTTTTGGTAGAAGAAACCCAGCAGGAACTCATTAGCATATTAGGCCACACCTCTGACAGTGCATTAGCATATTAGGGCACACACCCCATGCCATCCCTTGGCTTGCCCGGGTGCCCCGCGCCCCTGCAGGGCACCCAGGCAAGCCGGCCCTTGGACAGGCTGGGGATCCTTCCAGGGCTCCCCCACTTAAGAGTCACTGGGGGGGTGTCACTCTCCAGGCCTTCCCCTCTGTAGCCACACATGGAAGAGGTTTTGGCTGTAGTGGGCGTGGCCAACTCTGAAGCCAGCCGGAACTCCCTTCCTGTGCGTTCCTGCCCAAAAATAGCCCTGAGTGTGTGGATGTGAGGGCTGCTTTGCAAAAAGCGCATAAGCTTGTGATGGTGTTAAGCGGGGCCTCCCTTCTCTGGGAAGAATGCATACTTGACCTTGGACAGTAGATACTGTTAAATACTAAGCTTGCAGGTGCTGGGGGAGGGCTAATGGTGCATAGTAGATTTAGGTGAGCTGTATGGATTGGTGTGATTGGACACATCATCAGAGGGGGGCTGTTTGAACTCTGTATAATATCAGAACTGGCGCCAAGAGGGTCAGTTCTGACGCATTCTCATCTCTCAGTAAACAAATTGCTGCCAAGAGAGTGTTGTTGGGAGTAAGTTTGTTCAAGAGTCTGACACAAAAAGAATACTGGAGGACTAGAATTCATTCTGTCAACTCAGTTGTCAGCTATGACTTGACAGTCCTGGGCTGGCAGATATGGCATTAGTGCATGCACATAGTACCTTTAAGAGTATAACCTGTGCTCCACATGGAACTGCTTTTGAAAACGGTCCAGGAACTTCAAATGGCTGCCAGAATGTGGCCATCAAGCCACTGTCAGAGGCTGGTTGCCGGGATTGTATCGCCCCTGCACTGAAAGATCTGCACTAGTTACCCATCTCTTTCCAGGCATAATGCCATAGTGCCCACCCTCTGAAGCGGCCATTTCCTCCAGGGGAACTGATCTTTAGAGTCTGGAGACCTGTTGGCACTCCAGGCGATCTCCAGGTAGGGTTGCCAGCTGTGGGTGGGAAAGTACCAGGAGATTTTGGGGGTGGAGCCTGGAGAGGGCAGGGTTGCGGAAGGGAAGGGACCTCGGTGGGGTACAAGGCCCTAGAGAGTCTGCCAGGGTTGCCAGCTCTGGGCTGGGAAACCGGGAGATTGGGGGGGGGGGGGAGACTGAGCAGGTTAAGGTTTGGGAAGGGGAGGGACTTCAATGGGGTGCAAAGCCACAGAGTCCACCTTCCAAAGCGGCCATTTTCTCCAGGTGACCTGATCTCTGTCACCTGGAGACCAGTGTTCCCTCTGAGCTGAGTTAGTGAGTGAGCTCACTGTTTTTTAGCCTCTGGTCCGGCTCACACATTTTTTTGCCTCAGCCCAGGAAAGAGGGCTCCAGAGCACAGAGTGACAGCTCCCTCTGAGCTGAGTTAGTGAGCGAGCTCACTGTTTTTTAGCCTCCGGTCCGGCTCACACATTTGTTTGCCTCGGCTCCAGAGCAAACTGATTTATGCAGTAGCCAAATCGCTGGCTCACAACTTTAATGCCAGGAGCTCACAAAGCAGAATTTTTGCTCACAGGACTCCACAGTTTAGAGGGAGCGTTGGTTAGGAGTGTGGACTCTAATCTGGGAGAACAGGGTTTGATCCCCCACATGTAGCTGCTGGTGTGACCTTGGGTCAGCTACAAGTTCTTTCAGAGCTGTTCCCTCACCAGCAGTTCCCGAAAGAGCTCTCTCAGCCCCACCTACCTCACAGGCAGTGTTCCCTCTCAGCTGAGTGAGTGTGAACTAGCTCACTGTTTTTTAGCCTCCAGCTCACACCTTTTTGCCTTAGCTCAGGAAGGACGCTCCAGAGCAAGCTAATTGATGTCGTA